GTTACACCCGGTAATCTCGGGACCGACGGTTACACCCGATAATCACGCCGCTGACAGTAGCTTACATCGGCCCCTACCGAGCTTCCCGGTAGGTCGGACCTCGGCCAGGTTCACCTCGGCCCTCATACTTAGCATCTGTCAACACTAGTGGTGGTGATCTCGGCGGTCCGAGCTGGGCATGACTCATGAGTCATCTTGGAGCACCAATAGGGGTCCTCCACGTGTCCAGGGTATTCTCTTCCCCAAACAAGCAGCAAATGTCCGAACAAGAACATCACAGTCAAGAAACGAGAGAAGAAGAGGCTCCATCTCTGTCACTAAAAACACGGGAAAAGGTGAAAGAGTTTGTTAACACCCTCTTCGAAGCCATTTGGGGGTGTGATAGTTTTTACAAACTCCTCGTATCTCGATTTGGCATTTTGGGGTGCAACTTCTTCTAAACTATTAAGGTTGTTGTTGGGGTGGGTGGGAATGTCACGAGAACTTTGAGATGCAGCTAACTGGGCTAAGGCAGCCCTCGTTCTTAGTCGGTCAAATTTCCCAACAAATTTATAAATAAATGATATACTTAAAACCTTCAGTGACATATATTTCCTTTCTTCTTCTTTTAAGACACATGTATTATGCTTTAACTAATTGACCTATGTTTAAGTTAGTCATTGACTAGTATAATGAAGTCAATGATTTTTACCATTTTGTAGTTAAATATTCTATTCTTTTATTTTAACCGTAGAAAAGTTATGGTTACATTACAAAATTGGCCCTATTTGGTTGAGTTGATTTTCAGTTTGGTCGCTAAAGTCTAAAAGGTAATAATTCAATCTCTAAGCTATGGCTTAGCTTCAATTTGATTTATATAGTTCTAAAATTTTAAATTTGGTTCAACATGTCAAATCATCTATAAATCGTCTTTTATGGATAAAAAATTTCAATCACCCCCTTCTTCTTGGATATTTACATAAATATAATAAAATAAAATATACATTTTTAAATATAGTAGAAACTTGGGTGTACGCAATCCAAATTCTGTTTATTGGTTTTAGATTCACTAAATCAAATCGATTGAGTGAATATTAGTTTTTGAAAACTATTTTTGGATTCTTTGATCTAAATAGTGAAAATTCTATAAACAACATTTTTATATTTTCAGTATTTGAATTTTAAACTTTGAAATACATAATTACACTAAAAAGGATAAAAACTTTAATAAATATATTATTTCACGTTATAAAACTCATTTTAATTTTTAAACTTATAAAATTTAAAAATGTAAAATATGATACATTATAAATTATATAATATTGTAAAGCAATTTGTTCAACGAGAAATTAAATAAGAGAAAAACTCGAATTAGTGAACTTATATTTATATTTACGTATGTGGTGTACAATCTCAAATGTATAATCCTCTGATTAATTATCTCAAATGTAAACTTTAATTCAAGGGACTTGTGAGCTTATTCTTGAATCGATGGTTGATGCTATCAGCTTCTTGCTTGTCGAAGGATCTTTGAAGTCTTCGGCCTTGAGCTTCCTGAAGACTTCGACTTGTTGATGAAGTTCTTTGGCTTGTAGTTTGATGAAGACTTTGTGAAGTCTTCGGCTTTGAGCTTATGGAAGTTCTTCGGCTTTGCAGATTGTGAAGTTCTTCAGTCGATTTGATGAAGACTTTGTAGTTTGATGGAGTCTTCAAGTCTTGTTGTTTGGGGAGAGAAGATTCAATATCCTTGAACTCTCTTAGTCTTCAATTCTTCGAGTCTTATTAGTTCTGGATGTTTCGCACGCTGAATGATTGTAGATGACTCTAAATGCTTTTAATCTCCGATGTTTCTGGATCTCTCCGAATTTTTATGAATCCAACTTGTTGAAGTTCTTCGGCTTTGTAGCTTGTTGAAGTTCTTCGATTTGTAGCTTTTGAAGTTCTTCAACTTGTAGCTTTTGAAGTTCTTCGATTTTGCAGCTTGTTGAAATTCTTTAGCTTTACAGTTTGTTGAAATTCGTCGACTTGTAGCTTGTGAATTTCTTCGGCTTGTAGCTTGTGGATGACTCTGAATCTTCGATTATTCTAGATCTCTCCTCATCCTTCTCAATCTCTCTCAAATGGAAGGTGGCCTCTCTCTATATAGGGTTGATCTCATGGGCTTCAGTCAAATCATTTTATGAGTTTGGTCTAATTATTTGATTTCATCCGATGACTAGAGACACATGACATAATTTGATTTGTCGATTTTAAAATTAATTTGAACAAAGGTAAATTTTATGTTGGTCTTTAATATAATTTTAAATTTGTGACGTGTTATTTAATAATTAACCAAAAATTTCTCTGAACACAATAATTTTATAAAATTTATAACATATATATTAATAAATTAATTAATATTACTAAACACTAAACACATCCAATAACTTTTAAAATTGAAATTAAATTTTCAAATCTGCAATAAAAAAAAGACATATCTGAAAATATTTAAAATATGGAATACATCCTATTTCTCATAAAATCTCTTGTTTTTATGACCAACAAAACAATTTTTTTTCTCTTTTTCTTTTTAACAAAGAACCAAACACATCCTTAAATTTTTACAAAATAATAAAAAAGATAATAATAAAATAGCATAACCTTAGATATGGGTTGGGTTTTATATTTAAGAAACCCAAAAAATGAAATGGAGCCGAAGTGATACCGTATATATATGAAAAAACCCTAGAATTAGAATGAAGCCTAACCATCAAACTTGTGGCGGCAGATTTCCAAAACCCTCCCTCTGTTGTATTCACAATCGGGAGTTAGAATCCAAAAATGGTGAAATTCCTGAAGCAGAACAAGGCGGTGGTGGTGCTTCAGGGCCGTTACGCCGGCCGGAAGGCGGTCATCGTTAGGGCATTGGACGATGGAACCAGAGATCGGCCTTACGGCCACTGCTTGGTCGCCGGAATAAAGAAATACCCGGCGAAGGTGATCCGCAAGGACTCCTCCAAGAAGACCGCTAAGAAATCGCGAGTGAAGGCCTTCATCAAGCTCGTCAATTACAGGCACCTCATGCCCACCAGGTACACTCTCGATGTCGATCTCAAAGACGTCGTCACCATCGATTCCTTGCAATCCAAGGACAAGAAGGTTACTGCGGCTAAGGAGACCAAGAAGCGGTTCGAGGAGAGGTTCAAAACAGGCAAGAACAGATGGTTTTTCACAAAGCTCAGGTTCTGAATCGAATTTTTGTTCTGGGTTTACTTTTTATTCTCAAGTAATCGTACTGTATTAGTTTGTTCTGGTTTTACATTTTTGATTGAACGTACTCTAGTCTTTTCGGTTGGAGATTTTTTCTGGTTGTGATAATACTACATTTGTCTGTCAAATTAATTTTGTTGCAATTTCTGGCCCAATCTCAGTTTTTGTTTCATTGCTATTAGTTTGTTTGTTTATATTTTGCTGACGTTCATTTCTGGGGTTTTCTTGTTTGCTCATTATGATTTTGATATGTTGCTATTGATTTATGTGAAAGTAGAAATTATGGTTGTATTTCGGATCCAACAATAGTATAGCCTCCAATCTTTGTCTTACTCTTATGAAATTTGCAAGAAATTATCTTTAAAGAATAACTGAAAAGTCTCCTATCAACATCTGTCATTCTGTGCTTGCATTGCTTGACATCTTCGTTCAATATATCTAATTAACTTACAATGATTTTGTTCTTTTGTTGAGTTTCTTGCTGGATTGCCACTTCTTTTTTTTGGTGGAGTTTCTTGACAAATGCTGTCAAATTTGTTTATAAGTCTGATAGAATTGTTTTGTGGAATCAATTATTCACAGGGATGAACACTAATGAAATTGCTATGAAATTCTAATTGCTTGTTTTTAGTTTGCAAAATAATGGCGACTTGGAAGGTCTTTTTAAAAAACCATTTCTGTCCTTTTTCAGAAGAGCATTGGTTAAATATGTTTTTTGTTATTGAATTTGTTATTCTTCTGAAGCGTATCGAAAAAATCGCATTATGACTTCAACATTAAAAGTAAAAAACTCTTCTATAAAACACTGTCTGCAAATCGTTCCTTTTCATCTGCTTATTGTATTTGCAACTGAGATTTTATTTGCCTTCCCAACCATGCACAAATGTTGGTTATGTAAAAACAATGAAATTACATCTAGAATGTTGCAGATGTTATTCTATCCATGTTTTCGATTGTACTTAAGCTTTTCAGAATTTTGTTTCTTATCTTATCTTAAAATTATCACTCAAGATCATATTCTTTTCCCTTTATATTTCGCTTGGAATGCTAAATGATTGTTTGTGTTTGATATTCCAAGTATATGATTTGAAATGATCTTAATAGGAAATTATGTATTGTGCATTATACTCTGTATCTCTTAAATTGGTTCAATATGCTGTAAGTTTCTTTGTTATGGTCTATTTGATGCTTGCGCTCAAGTTGAGTTGTTTTCTTTTCTAGCTGCTGCCATTTCATTGCCATGGCATTTAGGTTGATCTTGATAGAGGTCCAAGTTGACTGGAAAACCCAATAAATCGATTGGGTCAGTTTCAGTTATCATTTTTAGTTAATCTGGTTGCTTAAATTGTAAAATTGGAAACATTTCAATTGGTTCGATTTGGATAGATTATTTTTATCTTTTCTGAACCGGTGGTCTGTTTATCTTGAGTGGTTCGGTCGGTTTTCTAAGCATGCATTCCATTGTTAGTTTTTTTGTCCCTCAAACTGTTCAATTTGGTTCACCATCAATTTTGGCAAAAAAATTGATCTGAACCAATTTATTTCCAGCCAACAAAGTGATGAAATAGATCATTCTTTTTGGGTTGATTGTTGATTTTGAAGATATATTTTTTCTTTTTAGTTGATTTATATTGTTTTGGTATATAATTTTAAGGATTTTTTTTTTTTGATGAAATATGATTTGAAGAAAGCAAATTGATCGGTTTGGCTGACTTCTTTAGCTTTTGTTTTGTAGCATATCATTTGTCAATTCGTCTCCCAATGCTGTAAGGGTTTCAAAATTTTTTGTTTTGTTGTTCTAACTTTCATTTTCTTCCTCAATGTTTTTAAACTTATACTTCAACACTATTGTTGAAGTTGAAATTACAACTGTAGGGGTAATTTGTGAATTTAAAACTTGGCTAGTTTTAGAATGTTATTTGGAGGATTTCCAAATTATCAATATATAGGTGAGATTTGATTATAAGACATTAGATTTATGTTGATTTTAATGAGACTATGGAGTAGATACTTGATTGAAAAGTTCGTCACAGTTGGAAAGAAATAAAAAAAAATTGTAGGTTAAATTACAGAAACTGCCCTAGTACTTTGTTTGTTCTTTTTTACATTTAATTTTTTAGGAAGTATTCAAAAAATACATTTTCAACTAATATCGGTGAATATTTTGAATGAAATATTGATGTAGTAGAATTTGAAAGATATTTTGAATGTAATATTGATGTAGCAGAATTTGAAAATGGAATACTTCAATCATGCGAAATCAAACAAAATTATTGTAACTCAAAAAAAAAAAAACAAACAAACAAAGCAGTAAACAAATTCAAAATATAAATTTAGCATTGAACTTTTGTCATTATTTCTCCGAAGTGTCACAACTTCTTTGATAAAAAACGTATTATTTTATTGGGAAATTATATTGGGTAGCTGTATCTTTAACCATGTTTGTAAAAATGTGAACCTTTTGTACTACAAATATGGTAAATTCTTGAAATTTTATTTTTTGAATTTTTATTATTCATTTTTTAACCTTATGATATTTGATATAATTTTGATGTACCTTTAATATATATATATATTTGATGTATGAACCTCTAATATACATATGATGTACTTCACGTATGAGATGATGTTAATGTTAAATATTAGTGCATATCTTTAGTTTATATATATATATATAATCTCTTAAATTTTTTTTTTGGTAACTTACAAATATAAAAGAAGACTTAAATTTTTATTATACAAAATTTACTATTCTAATTTTTATAACCTCTTACAAAAATAGCAACATACTTTGGATTTTATGGCAAAATTATTTGAAATATTGTTTATCTTTTAATTCCAAATTTACCCTTCCCTATTTTTGTTTAAGATATTGCTTGTTTCCTCCTTTTTTTTCATTTTTTTTAATCTAAAACGTCAAACTTATACATGTTCTTCAAGTCAAACGGCTACAGAATCTAAAATTTTTAAATACTACAAATCTTCAGTTGAATCACTACCGATCCTGAAACTTAAACTTCTGGCTTTGTGGCTCATCATTGTTCAAGCTAAATATGAAACTTTTGGTTCAAATTGAATTTTTGATTTCTTTACAAATCTTCTTCGTTCAAGTGTTCTTCTTCGTTCATATTGAAATTTCCGATTACACACTTATTATCGTTCAAGCTCATTCTCTTCTTCGTCTCTTTCTCGTGGTTCATGGGAGAAAACAAGGATAATGAGAAAATTGAACGTAAATCGTTCAAGCTCATTCTCTTCTTCGTCTCACGTAAATTTAAAAATTGTGGATCAGTTTTTTCAATTGCACCCACTTTGGAATCTTTCTTTTTTTCTCTGTCTCTCTCTAATCATTAGTTCTTGGTACATTAGTTCTTGAAGTTTGTTATTATTTGATTTCTATTTTACTTTGGTTTATTTGTCATTTAGCATGTGGAATATGGATATGTAGTGTTGGAACTCCCAACCAAAATATAATGATTTTCTTTTTAGTTCTTTTATAAATTAAAATTGTAGTTCACTCATAATCATCCTTAGCTCATCAACATTATCATTTCAACTGTTTAAAAAAAAACATTATCATTTAAATGCGTCTTTCTTTCTTCATTAATTTATTAAACAAAGACAATGTAACGTTTCAAAAAGTATATTACAAGTACGTGTAGAAAATAAAATAGAGGTTAAAATACTATTTTGATTCTTATATTTTGAATTTTGGTTCATTTTGATTCATGTACTTAATTTTAATTTTAATCTTATTTTTTTCTACTATAATTTAGACAAGATACTACGGACATTAAATATATTTAATTTTGGTTTGATATATAACACTATATAAGTTTATATGAGATTGAGTCTAGCTATTGATTATATCCTAATGTATTTTATATCTATAAATAAGTACTAAGTAGGTAGTTTATATAAATTTATGCGATTCATGAATACTTATCGTTTATATGATTCATTAAAACTCATGGCAGTCCAAACAAATTCTCAGATTTTTCACTATCCTTAGAGTGCAATCTAAAGGAGAGTTTAAGAGATAAAAACTAAAGCAAGTTTCTCACCGTGGTACATCACAGAATGTTCTTTCTCTTCTTCCTCGATATCAAACAAAGCCATTTCGGTACCCATAATGTAACCATTTGCTTTCAATGTTTTGATCACATTTTCCAACTGCTTATATATTGCATCAAATTCTGGTTTTCTGTCATTTGATGGAACGAACTCATAAACTACATTCTTTATTTCAATTGAACTGCAACCTGGGACTTTCCTGATCCCTTGAGACTTATCATTCCTCTCAACTTCCCTACTTCAATCCACCGCTGCTCCCTTGGATATAGATTTGACAGCAGAACATAATTCTCCCCATTGTTTGGTTCTAGATCTATAAGTCTTTTGATAGCATATTCACCCTGTTGGATAAGAATCCCGACTTACCACGTGTCATGGTTGAAAGGGAGAGTTGAATTGACGCGCACGCAAAATATAGGAATTAACTCCACGGTACTCAAGTCGGCGGTCAGGGTAGGACCTGTAGGGCCGAGCCGACCTTAGGCAAAGTCCGTAACAATGTCTCTCCCGTACCCGACAACGTGCCGCGTTTGTAGGGTGTGTCAGAATTCCTGTCGGGCCCAGTTTTTATAAATAGAAACCCTTGCCTTAAATGCAAGGTACGCAATCTGAGATAGACTCGGCAAGTTAGCTCGGACTGGAACTGACTTGCTCGTCGGAGTGCTAACCTTGTTTTGTAGGTCTCAAGAGTGTTCTCGAAAGGTGGGAAGGTGTTAGACCGTTGGCCGCAGTTCATCCTGAACAGTCTGACCTAAGACTTATCCGAGCTCAGCGATTTCGAGCTCAAACACACCCAACTTTGTATTCCCATGAACTCGACAAGCACAAAGTAGAGCCCTCCAAATAATATTTTTCTCACAAAAAAAAACTAAAGCAACAATAACATTCTACAATCAGCAACCAAGGGAAAGCATGGGGAAGAATATTCTTCTAAAAAAACTAAAGCAATAGCCATAATCGGTACAGGGTTGAAGACGAGTGACAAAATAGTGAGCAGTAGTAACTTCACCTTTATATCAGTGCACTGCAGCAATAATATTCTACAATTCGCTAATTAATTCGTGAGCGACAGCCATGTGATCAGCACACTGAAAGAAC